GAATGGGCCTGGTGGTAAACGAGGACAAGACGAAGTATCTCCTGTCATCAATCAAACAGTCAGCACATTCGCGCCTTGGCACCCACGTCACTGTTGACAGTTACAATTTCGAGAAAGTAGAGAATTTCGTTTACTTGGGAACCAGCATTAACACCGATAATAATGTCAGCATGGAAATCCAACGCAGAATCACTCTTGCCAACAAGTGCTACTTTGGACTGAGTAGGCAATTCAGGAGTAAAGTCCTCTCTCGACGTACGAAAACCACACTCTATAAGTCACTCGTCATGCCCGTGCTGGTATATGGCGCAGAAGCATGGACATAGACAACATCCGATGAGGCGGCTCTTGGAGTGTTCGAGAGGAAGATTTTGCGGAAGATTTACGTGTCTTTACGCGTTGGCGACGGCGAGTACCGCAGACGATGGAACGATGAGCTGTATGAGCTTTACAACGACATAGACGTAGTGCAGCGAATTAAAATACAGCGGCTCCTCTGGCTTAGCCATGTGATTCGAATGGACACCGACGCTCCAGCTCTGAAAGTATTCAACTCGGAACCCGCTGGTGGTAGCATAGGAAGAGGGATGCCCCCACTGCGATGGAAAGATGAGGTGGAGAAGGACTTGGCTTCGCTTGGCGTTTCCAATTGGCGTCAGTTGGCACAGAAGAGAAACGACTGGCGTGCTTTGCTGAACTCGGCCAAAATCGCTTAGGCGGTTACAGCGCTAAATAAGAAGAAGAAGATATTCTTAGGTATCGGGCAACATTCATAAATATTGACACGAACCTCCTTCCTTTCTTATGAAAATGTACATACTTAATTCTGAGACTTATTTTAATGAATGAAAAATGAAAAAGTACCAACTAGGTCTGTGCGATTATTCGATTACTCGAGCAAGTTGGTTAATCAGTTATTCGGTTAATCAAGATTTTGATTACTCAAAACGATGATTAATCGAGTTACTTGAAAGACGATTACTCCAAAAAAATTAATTTTGCTCGTTAAAAGAGTTTGCTTTGGAAATTGCTTATTTTCTTTTTTACATTCTGTATATAAAAAAAAATCATTTACATTTTTAAAAACAGAAACGTTGTTTTCAAAGTATCAAGGAACTTCGACTGCTTTATAAGTAAACAGTACTTTGAAATGTTGATTACTCTCTTTACTCATAATGTTGATTAATCATAAAGCAAATTACTCAAATATTTTTGTTTTTGGTTAATCAAAAATCTGGATTACTCGAGTAGCTGAACTTTTGAGTAATCATAATTTCCAATTAATCGAATTTATGAGTAATTAAAATTTTGAATAATCAATTAATCGCGCAGCCCTATGTTTAACGTCTTTCATTTCTTTACAATATATTTGCTTCTGATTTATTTTGGAACAAATTTCCGTCATCCCTTGTCAAGCTTGGCTTGCAGATAAACCGGTTTAGGCGTTGTGCTATCTTCAGTGTCATTTTGCTTCTCTTAAAGTGTGTTTGCATTGTTCAACTTTGCGTTCAACATTTGCGTTCAACTCAGCGCAGGGTTGCACGAAAAAAAAGTTGAATGGCTAAAAATATCAAAATATGAAAAAATATCAAAATATTCGCCATAAAAAGGTGTTTGCATTGGTTAACTTTGCATTCAACTTTTGGTTGAATGGCCTTTCAACTAATCGCTTTCAACAAAGTTGGTCGCCAGCCAATATTTAGCCATTCAACTTTTTTTTTCGTGCAACCCTGCGTTGAGTTGAACGCAATTGTTGAACGCAAAGTTGAATAATGCAAACACTGCTTTAGCTTGCCTCATGCTATTTTTAAGTTAATACTTGACATAAAAATCAGTTGTTTGCTTTCTATATGAAAACACCGTGCGACAGTAAATTTTATACACAAAAAAAATTAATATATTCGCAAACTCAAAAATAGCAATCCTACATTTTTAATTTTTTTATCGGACGACAGGAGTTTACTTTAAAGAACTCTGAAACTTTAAAGATATAACTAATTCAAAAAAATTATTTTAAAAACTCAGTGTAATGGAAAATCACAATATGGGTATCAAATGAAATGGAAAAGTCTGTAGAATTAAAAAGAAAAAAATTTTGGCGCAAAAGGACGATTATGTACTGAAAAAGTTCTAGAAAATTTTCAATATGTAATTTGGAAAAGAATTTATGTTAAGAACTAATATACACACGACCACATCCTCGATTTTCGAACTTCTAAAATTAATTAAAAGGGAATTTTTCACAGGGCATTCGCCTTCGTGAACCATTTATATTTATTTAAGTTCTACGTAATTTGCTCTTTTATTTGGTACCCATATTATTATTCTACATTGCACTGAATTAAAAAAAAAAAATTGGAATAAATCATATCTTTGAAATCGTCAAAGAGAAAAAATAAAAACGCAGTTTCACTACATATGGTCCATAGCTTCGTGGGTATATTGACCGATTCGTGTGTTTTGATTTTTGTCGCACGGTTTCGACCGAAAGTGGGTTGAACTGAACGGAAGTCGATTTTTTTTAAATCAGACATACTACAGATTCGTATTCTAAGGACGCACATACGAAACTTTTTAGGAAACTTTTTTCTTGGGAGTGCCTGAAGTATTTGCTATCCCAAATGAAGTTAAGAAGGTTTAAGAGTTCTCCCTCTGCGATCTCTGCAAAACTGGAAAACAGCGTGAGAATATGGAAATTTGAGTCGCTTTGATCCTAGGCGTGGACGTCAATGGCTTCCTAATCACATCTACAGAGAGAACTCGGTATTCGCCATCTACAGAGAGAACTCGGTATAGAGCATCGTTGCAATAGCATAGTGTCCCGTGATGATGCCGGGAGAACCCTTACTGCAGATCTGTTGAGTTTCAGAAAGTCTTCCGTCTTTATCCTATTTAGTCGCAGCCAAATAGACCTTGACTTCACAATTAACATTAACTATAAGTAATTTTTAGTGTATTCATTGATTTAATAACATGATCACTTAGAGATGGTTGTAGTTTTCTGCCTGAATTATTGGTATCTCAGAAACTCTTTTCAACTCTCTCCTCCATATTCCTTTTTCAATTTAGTTCAGAGTCCAGAATGGTACTTAGGTATTTCCCTTCGGAGGAGAGATTCAAAGAAGCCGCCTCTAAGATCGGCAGAGAAATAGCGGGAAATATTTTTTGTGAGCAAGACTAATTTCCTCCATTAGCTCACTTATCGTTGGCACGAAATTGTCTGGCATTCCTTCCATCGAATTCAAAACTCGATTTATGACCAAGAGCGTGGGTTAACATGAATTTAGGTAATTATCAACTTCTATTTCTGAGTATGTATATGATTCGGTAAAGCGTTCAAATAATAGTGCAAGGAAAAGATTCAGCTAGGGACTCAACATTCAGCATGGCTACCAGTTCATTTATTAGTAATTACCTATCGATAAAAGGTATGCATTCATACTATTTGGGCAATAGCTCGACCTTAGGGCCAGTTTAAACTAAGATTACTTAAGCTGCGTTTATATTTAACAGTTGGTTGAGATTTGATTGAATAATGTTGGTTTAAACGAGCTAACTCAAGCGTTTAAACTAAGTTTTAACCACGGTAAAATTTTACACTGAAAAACTTGTCTCTAAAAGTTGTGGTATTGTCTGTTGTCTCCTAGTGGTCACTTGCGGCTCTCAATATTCCAGATTCGAAAATCGTGCATATTAAAATAGCCGCCGAGCATGAAATGGGAATCATTATTCAACATTTCAAGCAAAACGGATCATAAATAAAGACTGGTTTTCACTATGTCATATTTTGACGCCAAAATTTGGCGACATATTTTGACACAACTTTATACCTTTACCTATAATATTATGGGCCAAAAACTGACAGATAGCCGATTTATCAGCTCATGTACACGACTAAAGACCTATTCTGATCGAAATAATTCGATAAACCGCTTTTTAATCCCATTTGACAATGTGTTTTCACTTATTTGACGGCAAATGCCACTGAATTTGACGTAGTGAAAACCAGCCTAAACATTTTTCGAATAGATTGGTCCCTGGTCCATCTATCAGAAAAAGGTATCCTATATCTTAACCCAGGAAATAAGCTACCTATATCCCAAATTTCAAGCAAAACGGACCAAAAATACGTTTTTTTTTCGAATACATAGATCCTTTATGTTAACCTAGGCAAAAAGCTATCTACGTGCCAAATTTAAAGCAAATCGAACCATAAATACGCTTTTTTCGAATAGATCCCTGGTCCACTTACCGGAGAAATGGATCCTAAATGGCAATCTAGGCAAAAATCTACCTACGTCCTAAATTTAAAGCAAATCGGACCTTAGTTACGATTTTTTCGAATAGATCGGCCCTGGTCCACTTACCGGAAAAAAGGGATCCAATATGTTAATCTAGGCAAAAAGGTTCCTACGTACAAAATTTCAAGAAGATTTTTTAGAAAAGATCGGTCCCTGGTCCACCTCCCGGAAAAAAGTAAATTATTTTGGCCCTTGATATGGTGGCTGCTGAAAGCTATTTATATACAAAATTTCATGAAAATCGGACCTGCCGTTCGCGAGATTACCAGTTACAAAAAAAGGACCTCTTAACGAAATCTTGAGTAGTATCTAATTTCTGTAACGATTTTTTTACGAATCTTCCAAGAAAATTATATGAAGTGGTTGACACGAACTCGTAGAGAAATTTCTGTACGAAAAATAAAGACATCTCTGAAAAAAATCTGCTTGAAATTCTTCAAATAGCAGCATTATTTTCAAAGCTTTACCGATTTTCTTCCGAAATTTCGTAAACGAAGTGTGCACAGTTTATTTCATTTTAGAAAATTCGCCAAAAATCGGATGAGATCTTTACGAATTCTCCAAAAATTTCTCTACAATTCAGAATACTCTGTAAGAGTGATTTGCAGGGATGATTCGTACGAGTATCATACGTACAATTATTGAGTATCTTGACAAAAAGAATGTTAAACGATTTTTACACAATTCTGTGACACTTACCGTGACCTCCTTTCTTTCCATTTGCTTTGCTTTTTGATTTTCTGGGATATAAATGGATTTTACTTTGTCCACAGCCCATAATCCGTGTAGCAGCAGCGTTGCCGCTGAAATTTGCGCTGCTGCTGCTGCTTCTGCTTTCTAAACTGCTCCACAACTAATTTACAGCGTTTTACCGCTGCACCTCCTTTTGTGATTCCTGTAAGGTGGCAAATTAATAGAATATTATACATATGTATGTATTTTATGTGTGGAGCAATTTACATATCGCGCACCGTCTTCAAAAGAGTCACAACTCAAAATTTGGCATTTTTGAGATTATGCGCTACAAATGTACGCAGAGCTTTTCTTTACCTTTCAGCAAAAGCTGGAGCAAATTTTTGTTATAATCTGTTAAAACAACTTAAGGTAAAGTCGCCCTTGCCCATATGATTGGCATGTGCTACGAAATAGTTTTTCGCATTTTCTGTAGAACGTATTATTTTGAGTTGCGACTCTTTTGAAGACGGTGTGCGATATATGTATTCACAAAAAAAAACGATAATTCGTTAACAAATAAATAATAAGTGTAAGGCGAGGTGAAGCATAGAACTGAGATAAACCACCCGTGGTGAAATTTAATTTGAACACAGAGCCAAAGAATGATGGTAGATGTAATGAAGAACCAACGAGTTACAACAGATTTGTACCGAAGGGAAAGCTTGAGATTAAATAGAAAATTTGAGACTATGAAAAAGGATTGCATATGGAGGGGAATGTACAAATATACATACATAGATGTATCTTTATGTACGTATGTACATCGTTGCACATTAGAGCTGTCAAACTATCGACAATACTACCGATAGTATCGATAGTCTGGTCATTTGAAATAACTATCGATAGTTTTAGTACTATCGCCACTATCGTTTCATTGATAGCGTATTCTCTCTCCTAGAGCTTTTGATATTTGCACGTATTTAGAGAACAAAAATTGGCAGCAATATTTCGCGAACGAACAAATAAAGATTACCCAGGACGGTGTGCGAGAAAAGAGTTTTTTTTGGCGTGACGTAATTTTTTCGCCACCATGTGAATGAAACGGAATGGAACCATGTGTGTGAATGAAACAACCGATAAAAAATGACGTTATTAACTATTTTTATTTCTTTTTCTCAAATGCAATTACAAATACATGGTTGCCGTGCTGGGTGATCTGTTTAGTTGGTTTATGGCATTATTTCTAAAAGCGCCATTTTTTATTTTGAGCGTAGAAATAGCAGAGGTTACATTGCCGTCTTAAGAGCGTGTCAGACCGTGCAATTCAGTATATTTCAAATTGAGAAATTCCAAAAAGCAATTGCATGAGCAGTGGCACCTTGCATGTAAAGTGTCTTTCGAAAGAAATTTTTTTATTTCCGAAAGGCGAATTGCAGGGAAAATTTCTGAAATCGCTTTTTGACTGTTTACAAGGAAAATGAATTTCTAGCAGTATTTCTCGATACTAAAATGCAACCGTGAGCAGCTATAATTAATAAAATAAAAGAATGCAAGATAACGAAAAATAAATGGATTTAGAAAAACATATGAAATGGGCCGATACTATCGATAGTCACCCTTAAGACTATCGTAAAACATCGATGGACTTGACTATCGATAGTTTGACAGCTCTATTGCACATGTATTCACATATATAAATATGCACATATTGTATAGATACATACCTACATACATACATACATACATGTTTTTTTGAATACAACTATGGTGAAGTGTAAATATTTGTAGTAAAATATGCAACGGGTATCTTCAGGGTGGTTGGGATAATGCGCTGGCGCAAGAAAAAGTTCAGCAAAGTTCAATGAAATACATGGAGTTTAGATTGCGAAAGTGAGCAAACGCAAAATACCGAGAGAGTAACAGCGAGCGCCAATTTACCCAGTTTAGAAAGTGCTACCAAAATTTATTCTTTGTGTGCATTTGTAGTTTTGCCAAAGGGAATGTTTAAGGTTCATTCAGGCGTGGCTAGGGAATTGACCTGTAAAATATGAAAATGAAGTTACTTTTTATTTCGTTACTCAGTTTTCGAAAAGCTAGCTTTTATAATTTCATTACAATATTGCATACAAAATAATTAGTAGCAAGGTGTAACTTTTTAAACATTTTCTAGATTGTCCATGGCATTGTTGCTGCAAAACGTTACCAAAACATTCGAGAGTGGTTTAGATATGTTTTGTGTTTATTGCATACAGAGTATAATAGTCCAAGTAGTGTTGAGTTGGGTGGACCAAAAAAGTGAAGTCGGATTTTATTGCTTTACCCTTTTCTATTTTGAAATCACAAAATATTTTGAGGTCGCTCAAAGCGCTCAAAGTTTTCCACACTTCGTCCCTGGTCGGAAGCTTCCTCAGCTCCGATCCTCCCATCACAACTGCTTAATCTGAGTCCTCACGCTGAAACTTCCGTAGTTGTACTCCATCTTGACATGTATAGCCTCAACCAGGACGTCAGGCTTTACTGCTTGCCTTTGCATCCTCTGCCAACCACGACCTTTTCCTGGATACGTCGAAGTGCGCCGCTGCTTCTACAGCTGCCGCCATTTCCGGACATCGGCGTATCACTATTTGAACGGGGTTCCTGCCGGAAACATTGCTGGGCTTGTCATGACCACTTTCTTGTGGTGGCTTCCTCTTTTAATCGGGGTTTGCGGAACAGGCACGCTTTTCCTGTATCGCTGTTCTATCTTCTGCCGAAACAACTCCACCTCCATCACTGCCAACCTCTACCCAACTAACCACTTCTGTTTCTGGTGAAATCTTCGGGAGTTCCTCTAAGAGCAACCGTCTACTGCAGTACTGGCTGTAGTAACCAACCTTAAGTGGCACTTTCCTGTCGCGATATGTCAGGATCATTCCCTGGAGGTCAATCTTCATGCCTTGGCCAAGTAGGAAGTCCACGCCGATGATGACTTCATCCACAATGTCTGCCACTATAACCTTGTTGTACGAGGCCATATTTTGGTGCGCTCACCAGTTCTAGTCTGCAACTTTGCTCCAGGTAGTAACATCACACACCAAGTGGCAAAATCAGATCGAATAATGGAATGTGACGCTTCAGTATCCGCTCTCAGAACTCGCTCTTGCCCATTCAAATATCCACCAACAGTAACGTTATTCGCTTTTCTGCAAATTTGCCTCGTTTTAGTTCAACGACTGATTGGAGTTGGGTTCGTCTTCTTCAGCCCTGTGTTTGCGTCCTTCTGAACTGTTATTCTTGTTGGCGCCCGTCTTACAATCGCGTGAAAAATGGCCTTGTTTTCCACAACTGAAGTATTTTGCAGCATCCTTTTTCTCGGTGGCAACATGAATATTTTTTCCTTCGATTGACTTTAGCGTTTCCAGTATCTCGTTCATAACGTCCAGTGTCTCCACTTCCACTGGATGGGCTTTGTAGGCTGGGCTACTTAGGAGCGCCGCCGTTTGTGTCTGGGCATACGAGACAGTTTCAGCAAATGTTAGTTTTGGATTCGCATACGTCTCTCGCTTGGTATACATGTCCCGCCTTCCGCTTATGAACCTTTGGATTTTTACCATTTCGAGCAGGGCTGGGCGATAAGGATTACATGTGTAATCGATTGCATCTAGGATTACGATTATTTTAATCGCAATTTCAAAAATCATTAAATTAGGATTTTGGTAATCGTTCATCGAAGGCATCTTAGATTA